GCGCATTCACAATCCGACATGTGGGATTCGAACCAAGGGCCTTCGGTCTCGCACGTGAAAGCTTAAGCTCTAGACCACTGATTTGGCCGGCACCCAACGGTGTTGATGTCTAATTTCAACCAATTACTTTTAATATTATCAATTTTTATCTCAGGCTTCTGTTATATTCAACAAAATTAGAAAGTGTTTTAGCCATAAGAATCTTATTCATAAAGTGATCACTAACTTAGCCATCATGAACGACAGATTTCATAAATTGGATCTCTGAACTTAGTACTTTTAGAATAAATCATTTTAAGGTTTTTAATTAAGTGTTATTTCAAAGAATGAACAGGATGATTAAGAAGTCTGTCTTAGTAAATAAAATAAAAAATTAGTTGTATTACTTTAATCAGTATATCAAGATAAGCTTACCATATTACAATGTAATAACTTTCGGGATTAATGTTCACTAGCTTCAGGGTCGATCATGAAATTTAACTAATATTGTTTATTCTACAAACTAGTACAGGATTAATTGGATATTGTGGAGATAGAACCATAAAACCTATTTTGTCAATAATTATTCATAGTTTTTGCATGTATTTTGTGTATTTTCATATTCTGTACATTTAGCATTAAACAATTGTACTTGTTGTTTAAGTGTATTACTTTGAACACTTGTAACTTACTTACTTCCGTTTTGAGTACAACATATCGTGGCACTGTTACTGCTCCTCATTAAATACACTCTAATTCACATCTGCATCGTTCTGCTATATCTGCAAATATGTTAAATGAAATATTCATTGGATATCATCTATACTTATAGACAATTGTGACATTCTTATTGAATTCTACGCTTGGTAAATCTACTGGATCTATATCGTCCATGTTGGGATTACTAATCTTTTATAATTGTGGATTATTTGGACCAAACTCAGCCGAACACGCAATAGCCCGAAGACTTAAGTAACGTCCCTTATTTTTATCTATGTGTAATTAACTTATTAACTGTTAATTGATACATAAACTTTAGACGTAATATTTTTGTTGCTATTTTTTTTGGTTATCATACTTTTGGTCCACCACAATATCATTATTGCAAAATCTATTAGTTAAATGATTACATTGACATTTATAAAACCCGTCAAATTATTATTATTCATTGAATAACAAAAAAGATATGAGATGAATATAAAATCAAATAGTTCTTCATTTATGTTTCTATCTACTTCTCAAATCTTGACGTACTAGAATCAACATTTGAAATGAAATGCGTCATAAGCAGTAATGAAAACTGGAATAGATTGGGATTTTTCGGCACTCGAGTATACTTTTGCCAAAAAAACATTTTAAATGAGTATTCTGACTTTAAATTTTTGACCATTTGACATCTGTTGATTCACATAGATTATACAATAACGCATATGGATTTCCGTAATCATTCACAAAGTACACAACAAATTACTTCAATAATTCCAGTCTACATTAATTGATAAGTGATTTATTTTACTAACTCATTTACTAGGTATAAACTCGTATACTTGGTATCACAATGTGAGTGTGAATGTTAGTAAAACTATGTTGCTTCCCAAATCGAGAAACCCTAGGCGAGATTCGAACCTGCGACATAGTGATTGAATGTTCGATGCTTCAACCCCTAAGTCATTGATCTGCCAAGTAATAACCAATGTCATGTCATCCGTTCCTTAGTCTCTAAAGAATTTAGACTATGAAGTTGTAGTATGACCAACTGGCTGACCATCTTCGTTCAATTTGTTTTGATGCTTAATGGTTGGAGGCGATTGTCGCCAAGCCCAACGTCTGCATTTTTGTGCTAGACAATATTTATCGATGTCAAATACCTAAAGTTCGGAGGGACTAATAATACTAATTGAAAAAAAATTATTTTAGGTCTAGAATTGAATATTCAAAGTAAATTTCCTGTCACCTCTTAAATTTCTTATTATCTTGAATTGTTCATGAATAACAGACTTACAAAACTGTCGTATCAAATAGTAGCTAGAATTGTTACAAACGCCTGTCACTTTCGCAAGTGTTGTGGTACTAGTAATAAATTAAGACGTTCTTATAACTGAAGTGTAAAGTTACTTGTAGGGAGTCAGGAGTAAACTCTGGATCTATGTTCCGTATAAGTTGGTAATTGTCAATGAGAGTTACCTGTAATATTCAGGGAACTGATTTTTCCTGTGGTACCTGAACTCATAACACTCAATCTCACAGACAGAGACGTTGATTACTAAGTCAAGTATGCTAAATCTCCTAGTACGGATCGAGTTCTCCGTCTCTCTATATATATCTTCTAAATGAATATTGATGTCAACAATGACAAGTTAAAGGGTCTATATTATTAACACCAATGAATGTACAAGTCACGAACTTATACTCCAGTCAGAGCAACTGTTTTAGTGAACACGTGAAATAACATATTTCATAAAAGTGATTCTATAAAATAATCCGTGTATATGCGTGAGATGAAAATTCAAGGGATATAAAACGATATCAGTTTCACCTAAAACTATTTAGTATAACGAATGACATGTGAAAGCAATCAAATGAATAAGTAACAGACTAAACAGAAATAATCAGAGTATGAGAATTGTTTAGTCATCTGTAGTCCAATTGTTAATCAGCTTTCTTATCATGAAGGTCATTTCTATCAAAAACTGATTTCATATGTAAAAATTACTTGGAATCATAGAGAGCAAGAAGAGCATATCATTATATTACGATATTATCCGGGATTATTGGCTTATGACTTGTCGATAAAGATGATACATTTCGACCAGTAAAGTGAGGTCAGGTGGCTTATATTTAACATCAGTGTGGAACTGCACTAGACTTCTGAATAAAGACTTTGGAAACAGAACATTCATCCACTAAGGTGATTATATAACGCATTTTGCAAACGTTTATTATACAGCATTTATCATATTGTAAATCCTGAGATCACGGTTTAAAAGGTCTGAGTCGCAGAATAATTCATTGAAAATCCGCATGGAATAAAGTACTAAAAAGAGGAAGTTCGGAGAAAAGGAAATCGTTGCAGCGGAAGATAAAGTAAATAGCAAACGAACACTTTTGACAAAGAACAACAACTCCGAAGAGAACACGTTGCCAAGATAAATCTGAAAATGAAATCACTCGTGATGGTCATAAAAAGGTTATGAACTATTGGGTCAATTTTGGTTTTCTCATCATAATCTGCGTAGAAAGAGATTTCAGTGGAATACTCATTCTAAAAGTTTTACTGACGTCAATTTTCTGTGACTAAGATATTGTAATATTGTCATCAGCTCAACAATCATAAAAATCAACATATAGAAATAAATGACCGTTATATTCGAATTTCAGAGGCAAATATAAGCTGTTCCATTTCTGGCAAAATTTTACTGACGTAGTTCTCCCTTTTCATGTATGTTACCAGCTTCTGGCGTAGTATGTTTTTGTCCCTCCACTTTTCCGTTTTCCTTCAGGATTCCAAGTTAGTACCTGCCTCGTAATGCAGTTTGATGATCTACTCAGTGTATGTCCAATCCACTTCCAATGTATTCTACTAATTTCCTCTTCATCTGGAAGCTGGTTTGTTCTCTCCCACAGTAGGCTGTTGCTGATGCTATCCGGACAACGGACGTAGAGTATGTTGAGTAAACAATTGTTTATAAATACTTGTACATTTTTGATGATAGTTGTGGTAGTTCTCAAAGTTTCAGCTCCCTACAGTAGAACTAACTGTCTCGATGTTCGTATCGAAGGATGTGACTTTGATATTGGTTGACGGTTGTTTTGAGTTCCATATGTTTTCCAAAAGTAGGAATGCTGTCCTTGTCGTGATGACCCTTGCCTTTATCAGATCCTATTTGTTCATCAATGATATTATTCAGATACGTGAACCTCTTCACCTTTTCCAGAGTCTCGCAATCAAATGTGACTCCATTGGTGTTCTCTGTGTTGTACTTGAGGATCTTACTCTTTCCCTTGTGTATGTTGAGGCCTACAGATGCAAAAGCTGCTGTCAAACTGGTTGTCTTGAACTGAATTTGTTGGTGTGTATAGGATAGAAGATCAGATCATCTGCCAACTCCGAATAGTTTAGTTGATTCCGAGCTATCCATTGTATTCTGTACTTTCCCTCGGATCTTGAGGTCTCCATAATCCAGCCAACCACCAGAAGAAAGAGGAAGGAGGAGAGTCTTGTCTGACATCGGTACTCACTTGAAATATATCTGTCAGCTATCTCTCCAGCATCACTTTGCACCGTGAATCGTCATATGGATTCTGAATGATTCTGACGACTTTCTCAGTTACTCACACCGTGATGTTGAAGAGAGTTCCATAATGTTCTCATATCCATACTGTTCAACCCAAGATCAAAGAAGTTGATGTGTGGTGACGAGTCCCATTCAATTGATTGTTGAATGATGATCCGTGATCTCACGACCTGGTCTGTGCACTATCGATCTTTCCAGGATCTGGTCTGTTGATCTCGAAGGTAGACGTCTACTGAATTTTTCATTCGGTTCAGCGACATTGTTGAAAACGTTTCCTGGTACCGATAGTAATGTGATGCCTGTGTAGTTTTCACACTTGCTTAAGTCTCGTTTTTCCGATATCTTAATGAGATATCCTCTTTTCCAGTCATAACAAGAGTTATGCTTCTATGAAACGACAGTTATTTCCCTACTACTCAGATCCTGATTTTAAGGAATATGGAGTTTACTAATTCCATGAAAGTTGAACAATCTTATTAAGTCATATAGACAGACCTAATTTCAGAGACAAGGTTTATCGTGTTATTGATTCTCGGCTGTAAACATCAGTCGACAAACCCATTAAAAATGTGATGTAGATTATATCAAATCAACGTCATGGAAACCTTTAAAATATTCTCAATTACATTTTTATATCGAATGAATACGACAAAAAATCCACTTTAGTAGTATTTAATCATGAGAGTATAGCGTAAACAGGACAAATTTGTACTTTGTTTTAATGGTTTTTAAGGCAGACTTTCAAGAAGGTTATATATAATCGTTCTTGAGGGCGGTATTAGTCTATTTGTAGAACAGTACGTATTGCTCTTCTAGAACAACAGAAGTGTTGTTTTTCTTAGTCGTGTTAATGTTTAAGAAGGAAATTTGTCGATAAAGTAAGTTCAGTTTACTTTTGTATAAACTTCATTAGTTGGATATGATGTAAGAATTTATTTCGCAGCATGTAATATATAACAACCTATTATGGTCCCATAAAGTAGGTCAAGTTCTCCAAAGACACTATTCTGGTGCCCAACTGTTGTCGTTGGATTCTGACTCTGCTCAAATCGTAATAATATTGGTCAGCATTGGAAATTCTCGTTAGTCAAAATACTAAATTATAAGCTTTAAAATACCAGCTAACTATTCAGTGACCTTCTTTTTTTAATTTAGTGTAAACTTGAGACTAACGACACATTCAATCATTAGCTCTTCCATCAAGCCCTTACTAACCATTCGGTTTCGCTTTCTATGTCACAAACGCGAAATACATCTGTGACTAAATTTAGTTTCCCTGAAATATACGGACTAAATCGGCAAGTTGGTTAGTTTTCATTGGCTCTCACATTGATGACCCACAGTGTAGAATTAATGGGTTTCTGGAGCTGTCTTTTTACCTTAATAACATAGGGATTAAAGCGACGCTAATTTGAGAACTTTCCAACATTAATTGAGCTTTTAACCCGTACTGGCTTATACCGAATATTTGTGGTGTTTGTTTTTGTTTCAGAGACAACTCTTTCCCAGGAAGATATTCCAATCTTTGTGTGATTTCAATAACACGACTATACTTACATATTTCACAAATAAATTGTCATCCTTAGATTTAGAACTTACTTCATGCCACAAGTTCTCAATTTGTCCAGGTCATTTTCGATCAGCATGCATCGTAATATTGTTGAAATCAACGCTCAGACTCACCTTAGGCCTAAGGGAAACGACTATAGCTACGAATTTTTTATTATTCCTGAATGTATTTCATGCAAATCATCCAAATATTGATGTAAGGTTGAAGGCATTACTATTTGATCACTGACTAACATCTGAAACTGGTTTGCAGTATCAAACTACTCAGACCTATGAACTTTGTACGTATCTTCATTAATATCCATTCAAGAGCATTAATTAAACTTATTATTACTAAATATTTATTAGTTCTTACTATTTATGTTTACATGAAGAGCGTTTGACAATGTCTGTATCTATTGAAAGAAATCCAAAGGATTACTATCAACGGAGTCTCAGAAGTAAGAATCACAAATTTAAGAAATATGGTCGTTCACTGCTCAAGCCAAAATGTAGGCCTCTATATTATGTAAATAATTTACTTAATTTTTCCGTTATTCTATTATTCATTTGTTTGTTTGGTTTTTAAATTACACCCATCTTAAGTTAATGTACTTATATGTGTCCATCAACTTTGCATTAAAACATAATAGAGAGTATCATATTTCGTACCAGGTACACACCTTTTAAAAACTATTCAATTTTGAAAATCATCACTCAAATCCAAGGTGAGGAAGAGGAACTGTCTTAAACCGATTTCAGTGATGTTATAGGATGGGATTATTCTAGACGAAAACACAAGTAAAACTGAGCGGTGTTTATCACAGACCTGCCACCAATAATCATTTCATGAATAAACTTTTCTTTCAACTAACATAGTCCATAAAATTTCTGGTGAAATTGAAGATGAGTTTTAATAGCGTTTAAATCACTTAAAACTAAGCTGAGTCAGTCAGTCACAATTTAAAACCTGATATATAAGTACATCAGTTACCACATTCCAATAGGGTGAAGATATGAAGCCGTCAAAGCGAATTCCAGAATAGTAGGGGTAATAACAGTATCAATGGTAATCAGAAGATTAGGCTTCAAAGGTACGATTCAAGAAAATATAGATTAGTAAAACAAAAGAGGATTATGGGGGATACAGGTGTTTAGAGTTTGGAAGAAGACAAACGATTTCCAGACATGGCATCCAAAGTCTTCAACTACAGGTTGAGAAAATCATACAGGCCACAACCACATAGTTTACACCTATTAAGATCACTCAGTCTAATTGTCAGTGCCTTCATAAACTGAATGCATGTTTTAGTTTGGCCATCCCTAGATTTCCTTAAGCCTACTCCTACACCACACAACATTGCTCGTAGAAGCAAACCGTGGTTAGGCATACGTAACACATGTCCCAACCACCTCAGTTTATGAAGATTTATAATCCCATCAATCGATTTGTTACCCTTACCTAGTACCCCATTCTTAACCCAAAGATTGCTTATTCAATAATCTAAAACTATACGAGAGAAGTCAGATTTGATTAAATCCAGTTCCCAGATTTAAGCTAAGATCTCGTTGAGTCTTATTGCTAAAACTGAACCACCATCCTTAAAAATCTCAAGGCTTAGTCGATCAGGCCCTGTTGCATTCAATCTGTCATCCAGGCTACTGGAAGATATTGAGTAACTGAAGTGTGGCCCAAGGTTAGTTGGATTGTTTCCTAAGGCGTTCTGTCCATCGGTTCAATCTTCTGGATTGAGAGTGAATAATAGTCCCGTCTACTTCCGAGACAGTTTCACGCTCGTCATTAACTATTCTCTTAGTTGCAACACCGTAAGATTCAACTAAGTCCCTCTTGATTTGGTTTAGTCTACCTGTTTGAACATGAAAATCACCTGCAAATATTACCATATCAGAGCATTTAGTTTTTTGTAAGGGGTTGGACAGGTTCCCATAAAATTCCTTACCAACTTCATTCGAGCTGGAATCAGTGGGAGCGTAGGCAGAAACAACGAAGAGACAACGACGCGTTCCCCTATATTTTCGAGCTCTTACTGTTCCAACTGGTCACACAGCGTACAAGCGACCGTTTATCGGAATCCAGTCTAGGAGAACCTGTTATGCTTTAGAAATTAATGCTAAGCCTGAACCAGAAAGGCTGCAGGGAGCGGTAATGGGGTCCCCGTATACTCGAAGGGTAAATTGTGCCGGTTCTATTTATTGAGAAAGTGGGGTCAAATGAATGACCATACTGGGGTCCTCTATGCGCGTTTGGGAAACGCAGGAAATGTCGATGGCGCGAGATTCTAGAGTCCTAGCTAAAGAAGCCTGTCGTCCTATTTGACACTAAGAGCTCTAAGATGTAGTTTAGAGTGTGATTTCAGGAGACCATGAATAGCATTTCGTGAACTCAAATTATCAGCATTGGTGGCGAATGGCGATCAAAATATGAGGGAAAGGTTAGTCATGGGGGTGGAAGAGTTATCCAGAGATGAGGGATTTAATGATCAACAAGGTGATCTCGGATGCTATTAGAGGTGTAATGGCTGTTGGACAACCGGCTATCTAAACCGTGAAAAGATATTCCTTCTTGAAGGAAATGAAGAAAAGCTGAATTTGTGGTGGTCTTAATGACCTGGTAGCGTGACCCTAGAGACCAGGGGATAACTGAGCAAGGCTAGTTGCACACCGTCTTTTGAAGGAAAGTTTTAACTCAGCACTTCAAAAGAGCTGACCATCGGAAATGGAAATTTGTGGGGTAAGGTGAAATGTTTTTAGTGTTGACCTTTTCTAACCCCTTATTTCCGATGTGAGAGGGCAGAATTACTGCAGATGCTGGTCATTCGAGGAAAACGCCATATTGTTGTCACTACTTTCTACAATCAGCAGCACAATTTCGCCCTTGAGGCTTAAGCTTATGTTTTTGGTCATACCATTTTTCAATCGATCTTTCTGGTACGTCAGGATGTAAGGGAACATGTGCTCCAGCCAATGTAGTTCAGTTGAGTCACCATGATATGAAAAACTGACCACCACGTCAAGGTAGCAGCTTTGGTGTGAACATATATGTGCTATATCCGTGTCGCTTACTCCTACACCTAAAAAAAGGAACCGATGAAATTCCCTCGACGCAAAGGAAGAACACCAAGACCCAAAACATGATGACGGCCCTAGTCAAAAATACTGATTGTACACCCATTTTGATTATTAGTTAGAATAAAGTTGCGTGCATAAAAAATTACCTAGTTATAACAAATCACATGCTGCGTATCCTGCTGAACATAGTTCACCTTAATTTAGTACAAGAATATCGTCAAAAGTAATTAAAGTTAAAATTTCTGAACTGTCTGCTATGGTTTTATGCTCAAATGATTATTTTATTGCATGTACTGAAAGTTTTTGACATTGAAGAGTTTGCTCAGCCAGGTAGCATTTATTTTTCTTTATCTGTCAAGAAATTAATTAACGATAACCTAAATATTTTTTACCTCTGAAAGCTATTTTGAATAATATTGATTTAGTCGATTCTTCAATGAAAACAGAGAAACACTGGAACCAAATCAGTCTACACTCTAAAAAGGAACCACGAATCACTCTACCGGTGAAACCGACGGGATATAAAAGTTCGATACTTATACAGAGGTAGATCATATATATATATACTGTGTTGCATGGTTTCAACTAGTGAGTGTTAAATGGAATTCTTATAGCATCTTACGAAGGTTTGGTTTCTTACAAGTTAATTATGATCAAATATAAAGGGTTAATATTAGACGTAAAGTATATTTTTAGCTTCTCTGAGAAAACAATTTATTCTAGGTGTCTTCCGAACGCTCAGCTTCTTTAAGTTTTGGTCTTGTAGATACATGGATTATAACTCAGCATGTTGTTCCTGAACTGACTTCTGGAATTAATCAACTACATTTTGTGAAACTATACTCGATTACTTATTATTTTAAATTGATCTATATATCTTTAGGGACAACAGCAGTGTAATTATCGAAACGCTATACTCATACAAACATTGTTACAAATGTAGTTGTAACTAGATAGATCTGGACATCCATGAAACAGTAACACTCGGATAATATAAATACCTTAGAGTTTACAAGATGACCCTTTATGAAGTTGCAGAAATGTATGCTAGAGTTATATACATTTCTCTAATATTAAATATCCAAAATCCAAAGTAATAACGTCTTATGGAACGATGTTTCAGTTATTGTACTCTCGTAAATGAAATATAACTGCAGAAACCAGTGATGCAACCTCACTACACGATTTCTTTCGGAAGAAACCCATTTTACTAGGTCGCATATGAATTCCTTATTTTGAATACTGAACTTTATGTTAATCCAGTATCCATATTTTGTGATGAATATTCACTGGAGAACCATTCCAAAATGATTTTGTATAACCAGTTTTGACATGGAAACTTGTATGCGTCAAGTAATTTTAAATCGATGAAAGGATAGAATAATGCTTTCACATACTCTTACGTTTAAGGAAAAAACCATGGAATACTGCCGTGAAAAGTGATGTCAAGGAAGGACACAATCAAGTTTCAAAATGTGAAAAATTGTCAAGTCGGAGGGAAGTGTCCCTTCCAATAAGTACAGACAAAAATAAATCGTCTGATCTTCGGCACATACCTATATGGTTGCGGAAGTCATTGAAATTTGTACAAAATTGTTTTCTTGAGGATCCCCCAAAATTAACAGACGATTTTCCCCATAATGCTAACAAAGAGGATGGAAACGCTCCACCGAATACATTTAAAGTTGTTCATAAGTCGCTTAAAAGTGCTAAAGCTAATATATCAGATAATCTCGAAGAAATCTTCTCGAAATTGGGTTTAGAACAATGGATAAAAGAGTACAAAAATGCCCATGATGAAAGTGTGAACGAAAACTCATCCGAAGATCAACATATCATTAGTAGTTGTTCAAAACAAATAACTCAAAAATTAACTCACTCAAACCCAAATGAATGCTCATTGAAAAAACGATTAAGGAAAGAATCATATGAAGAGGGTCACTTACAGGTGAGCGTTTAGCTGTAAAACAGAAATTTTAGATATTTTAATAATTATAAGCATGAAGCTTCCCTTGTTTCAGAAGTTCAGTTTTGTAAGTAATATACTCTCAAAACATTGAAAACGCTTAAAAGACAACCCTACAGTTAATTACTTTGGGTTATAAATTGATACGCTCTTAAAGGAGATGGTATACATACATAAATCATAGCATAGATGCAATTTGAGATCACACGCACTTCATATTTTCCCAAATATAAAAAGCTAAACACATACTAACATTTTATGTTGTTGGTTTCCCCAAAAAAGAGACAAAGAATAACCATAGTAATCGGAAAAAGTGCTAGCATTGTTAAGGAAAAAGTTACATAAACTTTGATTACAATTAGAATAACTGGATTTTATGTTGAGGATTATACAGTTGAAGTAATTCATTTATAGTCATTAGAAAAGAATAGTTTCCAGAATAACTTCAGAACAGGTACTATTCGTATAATTTCAAAATAATAAGAAAACGTATAGGTGGATACTGACGTTAAATAAAAAACTAGTCAGCAAAGGTTAATAGAACAACACAAGATGTTAAACACTTTTCTTTATTTATTAAATTCTGTAATAAATCTTGGTTTGTACTTAAAGGGTAGTGAAAAAGAAATTCATAGATTGTAGAATGTCGATAGTTAGATCGGTAGATAAGACAGATAAATGTAAGTGCCCAGTCTGCATTTCGTAATGACATTAAACATATGTGTTCATCATATAACGTTAATATTTATCCAGTTTACAATATCAGTTAAACGAAATGAAAACAAGAATTACTGCTGATAGCTAGTCATAATGGTGAATTCAGGTCTCTGTGAAACTTTCATATTCTTATTGGGAATGTTTCTGTTGTTTTGGTATTATATAAAAAAAAACAAAAATACGAAATATTCTAACAACCTATCATGTGGTTTTGAAACAGAATAATAAGAAATCCCAACATCATATTGATAAACAGCATTTTATATCGCCGAAGAAAAGATAGACACTTGGAAATTTAAAGTTTCGGAAATCGTAGTTGTGATACAGAGTATGATGGTCGTTTAGTTATTATCCATGTTTTAGTTGATCGATTCAAAAACAATGTATAAAAACGATTCTAAAGTGTTGAATAAAATGTTATATATGTTATTTGGTTTTTCGAATCTTCACTACACTGAGCTCATAAGCATTCACATTAATTTCATTTCCGTAAGTACATGGAAGTCTAGTGGGGGTTTCGATTCTAAAATACCACAAACTGCAAACAGCCGAAAAAATATGACAAACTAAGGCGAATTCATACTATCCTGCATTAATCGCTAATCTTAACTTTTTAAAATAACCGGACTACTTTCAGTATATACAAGCATGTAATTTGTTGCCTATATATATAGCTATCGATTTATTAATTTTTCATTTAGTGTCAAACAAATAAGTAATACAGTGACATTCTTTTCTTAAAAATTTTAAGGGGCAATTAGTAAGTCCAAACACTGTTGAAAATCAATCAAAATCTTGTCCATCGGATTCAGTAAAACAAAGCAAAGACAAAAAGACTCCACTTTCGTCGCAAGATAAACTAAATACACCATTTCTACTAACCTCCAATAACAAGATACACCATCAGAGTTTGGACTTGTTATCTCTTGATGTATTTAATCGGCTACAAGGAAATAGCTCAATAAACTCGAAATCTCCTAGTTTAGTAAATGATAAAAGATTTAGCCAAATAGGCATACACGCCAGACCGACAGTGCTTGAAAACAATCATCATGAATACCCAATAAAGTCATGCTACCCAAGAAGTTCATCTAAGTGCAGTAAATGTCTTAATGAACTGCCAATGGTTGAAAAACAAAACCACGATTCTGTTTTGAAACAAAGTAATATAAGACGTAATGATATAAATTTCGATCGCATGGACCGAAGTGAATATGAAGTTGGACCTGAAAGTCAGAAAATACATCGCTGGTTGGATGAAAATACTTACTTAATGAGCGGCTTGCGCCAACCAGAATTAGGAGATACTTGCAACAAAAATAAAAGGAAACACACAATTCCATACAAGTCTGATGTAAAATATGTTAATCAACAAGAAAATACAAGACATATGAATTCTGGTTTGAACACCGTTTCTCCGCCTGTGCACCCAATCTGGGATACACCTGAAGATCTACGAACGTCATCACTTACTGACTTTCTTCACTTATAAGACTTTTATCTATTATGGATTCACTTATTTAAATAGTATGAATGTTCGATTGAGTTTTGCTTCGTTTAAAAAAAAATTATCATGGGAAGTGTTTGTTAAGTTCGGTATAATTCCTAGCAAATACACCTAAAATCTATCGAAAGCAGAATAAATCTGACAAATTAGAATAATTTTCAACATTTCATTCTTCCGTTAGTTAATGCTCGACCCCATATTTATCAAAAACCAGTGTACAACATAACAGAATATCCCTATAATTGAGTGGGTTTTACGGAAAGCCATTCTAAATATTCATTATGACTGCTTTAGCTATATATTTATTTATTTATTTAAACACATATATATTGGTACAAAAGGGCACCAGGTACATATGCGCTTTAGCTATATATAAGCAGATCTAAACCACTAAAACGAAAAAAGTCTAACTCCAATGTAGTTTTGTAAGCCAATTACGTATAAATAGAAAAATTATGCCTGAGTAATCCTCAAAGATTGAGCTTTAAGACACTTCAACGTTCTGTTAAATGAACTGGTCCGAACTTTTCAGGGGAAATGCTCAGTTTCGATTACTCAAACATTCAAGCCATATTCTTTGCGCATAACAAACACATACCTTATCATCACATTTTTTTGTGGCAAAAACGTTCGCATTTGCTATGTAGTATATCGCATAATTTATTCTTCGGTTAAAAAGACCTAAGGAAAAAAGTGAGTGAACCATTCTGATATTTTCAAAAACAGGGAAGTTTGGTCAAACAATGCAAGCCAATTTATTGTACAAAATGTAAAAATAATGATCATTTTTACTCAGATTTTAGGACATTCGTTTCATAGGAAAGTAAACTAATTCCCCATCATATTTGAATTTGCTTCACGATTACAATGAAACTTCAATGTGACAAAAAATGTCCCCTTAATCATTTAACACACTTTAAACCATAACAGATTTTATGAATGATGAAAGGAATTCTTAAGAATAGAGCTTTCATATAACCCATAGCTTCATTTCATAATAAGCTATACTATTTCCTATGTTCACGCAAAGAAGTTCTGTTAATGATTTTCAATCATTTACATTTCGATTTCGGTCTTTATTAAAATATGTTATAGCATTCTTGTTGCTGGTTGGATGGATAACAAAACTCATCTACTTGATACTATCATATACTTTAAAAGCACCACAAAATCTTTCACATCCTTATCACCGAAAAGATTTTAAATTCATTAGAAAGGCTATTTTTGCATGACTTGGAGTCGGGTAAGTAATATATATGAAATTGAAAGAAATTTTCATCACAACAGCCTTTGTCATCTATATACAATTCATTTGGATTGGTGTTCTGGTTACGGAACATTCCCATTATCGCTTCAAACGCAACCACAAAACGACTAGTTACAGATATGATAATAATCTTGATAAATTCCCCTTCGTGTATACCTATTTGTTATGTAAGAAAGTGTCCATATAGCTAAACATCTAGAATTCATAACTGCTACATGTCTTGGAATTTCGAAGTGAGAAAAAACAAAATTTATTAATATGCTGGAGAACTTTAATGATAGCATTTGCCGATGAATAGGAAACTGATGACAACATAAACAACTACAACAGGGTGTATAAATAAGTACTTTAAAGTAGCGTAAATGGCTCTAAAACACCAGTTTGCCTTTTCTTCTTGAGATTTTTTCTTCTGTTATTCGAGAAATCAATTCACTACTGTTGTACATTAAACTTGTAATTTTCTCAGTCAATCGACTATATGGACTAGGAATGTCATAATTTCAAAAACAATATCATCATACAAACGAATAGTTTGGATTCAAATTTGTGGAAAAAGTTACTATACAAGGAACACTGTTTTTTTTTTCTAATCTGAACAGCTAATTAAGCTTTTTTTTTAAAAGAGTAAAACCTTTTCATCATTATAATGAAGCGTTCACTTTGATAGAGGACACTTCACGTGAAAAGTTGCTATAACGCAGCAATAAAAATAAGTTAGTAACATTTTCAGGAGTTTCAATTTATATTGTTTTGATATAAATAGGGAATTTACAAACAAATATGGGTATTGTAAATATTTTTGGGAATAAAACATTTACAAAAGAAAAGAGAACAAGTTATCATATATTCAAAGGTTTATAAACTACACATTTTATGCTTCACCGTAAACTGGACTCAGTAAAATAGAGTTTACACACTTTTCCAATAACGTATGATAGTCATTCCAATTCAATGATTGTTGCATCTTAGTCATCGTGGTAAAAGTATCCGCTGTAGGTGAAAGTTGAAGGAATGCATATTTATACCGGTCATCATTGTTCAAATGATTAGAACGTAAAGGTCGACCTTTCGCTGTTAAATGCATTTTCCCAAGTTCAGTAGATAAAAGTTTGGCTATCATATGCGCTAAATTTAAAGCTGTTTGATTAGACTAAAAAAAATTTAAAAAATGGGTGGATGTAAACAAATATTAATAAACCGCGTTAAAAATTCTTATTAAATGTATCCCTAAGACTTTGCAGACTTCGAATATAAGAACTAGAACCATCTTTTTGATCATTAACATGAAGTTCACTAGTAAACATGTACCGAAATCTATAAAATTCCATTATTCGGTAAGGGTTTTTTAATAATTCCTAACTTGACACATATAACTAAGATAAAAGGTAAACGTGAAGTAAACGTTTGTTAAAATGGTAGACGATAACGAGTAAAATGTATGGAATTAATAGGTGCTTAAAAACAAAGATTTGTGGTAATGATTAGTTCGAATTACTGCTACTATTTAGTATATTAGACAAAAAAACAATAAACAGGATAAATTGAACTTGATAACATCATAGAAGAATATATGGGTTACAGAAAAATACGAATGAATTCAAGTGAACAGTAATTGATTTTAAGTTATATTTTATTAAATGACGTTGTGTAACAAACAGAGGGTTATAGAATGATAGGTGGATCAAAATAAATTACGAGTAAAAATTATGAAAGTAAATTGTCCACTTTATAGGTATGAAGAAAAATGAAAAAACGTCAAGGTGATTGTAACAAATGAATAATATATTCACTTGTTGTTGTTTACTTGTATCTTCCCATTTTTATTTTGGACTGCAATTGATCAGTCTCTTATTGGCATATGTGCATCCCATGGGGACTGCCTCGATACTTCCTGAAGTCACAAGTAAACAATAAGAAGTGAATATAACTTCACCCCATTGCACAAGCAGATGGCTATCAGGACTCAGTGGCTATGTGGATAACGCGATGGCGTTTGGAATGAAAGGTACTGGGTTCGAGTCCCAGGGTGAACATCAACTCTGAGATGCAGGTACATACAGCTGACGAGTCCCGAATAAAAGGAAATGCGCGCTCTGGATCCCACTGCTAACCACTATCCATCTTTGCTTATAAATGAATAATAATTATAAAAAAATTATTGGAGGACAATGCTAACTGATTACGGTTTTAAATTACCAAATAATAAGAAAAACGAAACAAGATCGAAGTATACTGAAGAAGGGACTTAGGGATAAGGAAGGATGAGAGGTTGGAAGTATCTTTTTGGCACGCAGAGTTCGGGCTTGAATATGTGGATTTCAAATGCCTCAGCAGTTTTTGACTTAGCTTCCTTTCGATTCAGTTGGCTTAAATGTTATTTTAAGGGAAAACTCCTTTGGAGCGACATGCCGAGAGTTGATTAGGTGCTGCTGTATTGAACTGGTGACTGTTTTGAATTCTCCTATTAAAAACCATGCCGGGTAATGTTGTGAAATAAGTTTGGAAAGTGATTCATTTATGCAGCTAATGTAACCTGTCCCACAGGAACAAGTAAATTTATAAATGCATATCGATGTGTCCGAAAGCGAAAGTTTATCCATAGCATCTATCTTTCATATATATTTAATAGTTGAATTCATGAGTCGATTAAAGCATGACCACCATGGAAAACCTGGACGATTGTTTCGTCCCAGTATGGGACTCCTCAGCAGTGTGAATCAACGATCCCACACGTGAGACACGAACCCGTCCAGTGCTTCCAGATTTTTCATGGTGGTCTAGCTTTAAACGACTCATGAACTTAAATATTAAATTACTAAAATCTCCACAAACTCCCATGGTGATAATATTAATAATTAACAAACAACTATGAATACGAATATACAGCTTAAGTAAATGATTTCGTCGAAAAACAAAACTTCGTTGAATTTTATTCACTTTTAATTTAATTAAAAATATCTATAGTAATTAGATTGTATGTTCATTATATTAAAATTACTGCATTTTATGCGTAAAAAAATAGACGTTTTTGAACTGACTTACATGTGATTTCGGAAAATAACAGATAGCTAAATTCATATTATAGACAACAAATGGTTGAGTCATATTGAGTTGTATAAATGCAAGAATAAGCTGTAAGATAACAAAAAACAGAAACAGTAAAGAAATATCAAATAGTCAGGAAAATTCTTAAAAAAGTCATGTCAATTAATCTTACTGTCAGATATATATATATATATATATATATATATATATATATATATATTAATTGAAAACTAAGAGAAAACTGGATGGAAATAAGAAATCTATATTTGATATTACGTCTGTCAAATGAATTGATATTTTTAGGAAACACTGAAGCCATTGATTATACTAGATATGACAAATACCACTATATACATCAATAAATATATAGTAGTTGAAGAAATAATTAAAACAACAGTTAAACAAAATCATTTATAAATCAAAGAGACTTACTTCATTTAATCTATGAAAATCAAGTTTAGAAATTACAGCTTGAGATGTTTCACAGTTATTATTTTCAACCATTATTTTAATTTTATCAATGTATAATTGGACTTGATCATTATCAATGATATCTGTTTTATGATTGATATGGTGAAGATTGGTTTCTAATGCTAATCGAGCATATAATGGGAGAAATCCAGTATAATGTGGATCATTTAAAACAGATTTGTACCAATCGATATGAATGGCTGCCTTTTTAGGATTATGAATAGCTAATTTTTCTCTTGATCGACCTTCTTGAATCAATTCGTCAGCACATTGATGTGCAGATTTAGCCAAATGACCAAAAATGCAAGTGAACTATGATGAAGTAACAAAAATACACATTGATGTTATGTGATTTTAATTAAGATTCAGATTACAAAACTCTTGCATGATGACACCATAGAAAATTTTCTAATTAGCAAAAGGAATTAAGCAGCTGAAAAACAACATAATCATTGTGAAAGATTTTGTAGTCGGCTTTGAAATAAGACACTTTTCTTACTAGTCAAAGACAGACTCTTACAGTTGTTGTAACTAAGATATCAACAGACGGATAATTCAAATTAAGTAACAATATTTATTTTAATTGTTAAAACCATTTCACGGGATTTTATTTATTTATTTATTTAAACACATAAATATTGGTACAAAGAAGTACCAGAAAAATATGCGCCTCACAAATCTCATTTGATTTGTCTGAGGGCTGTGATACTGCCCAGGCGCCCAGACTGAAGCAGGTGGTTTTCTTAGGGGGCCACAACCGGAGACTTTGACCTGAAGGTCTAGTCCACAAGGCAGTGGAGAAACGTAAGGAGATGCAATGTCATGGTAGCCGGTGACCAACGATTGGTTCATACGCCATTTGTCCCTTCATGATACTGGAGCCTATGTGCACCATTGGTTTGGAATCAGGGTTTTCCAACTCCCCTAGATGGACCCTCCGTGTCCACCAGCCCGGTTAAAGCGCCGGACATTCGCTTTTCGTCCTCTCAATTTCGTAAACAACAGATTTTTTATAAAACTACTTGATGTTAAGAGAATTGGTTATGCGAAGAACAATAAGTTAACATTTTACGAATATTGATATCTTGCTTGTTTTTATATCTGAAAGTAAAAACTTATGTATGGGTACACTATGTAATTTATTAAGGAGTCAGGTTATTTATGATGTACAGGAAGAATTTCAAAATCGAACAAACTTGAAATAATTCTATTCGTTTAATAAAATTAATAAAAGTAATATGTAACCAACTGATTCATAAGGAGATTAATTGTCCTTCAGATTTTATTTATTCATGGTTAATTTGTTTATAGTCATATACGTCTTCTTAAACATATATGAATTAAAACTTGATTGAAGAGTTTTCAAACTTCAATTCGACAGATAAAATGTTGAAAATTAGAAAAAAATGTAACACACATCCATCATGATTTATTACTTAATGCATAAATAAATGACAAAGTCATTATACCACAGTTAACTACTGAAAATGACTAGTAAGTGAGTAAGTGTAAGCTAGTAAGGTTAATATAGAACGACTATATACCCAGAAGGTAATACATATTTATTTTTTATTTAGATATAAGAAAGGTATTTCTGTGACATAACAGAATATATGTACACTCTCATTTTGATGTCGTTCGAGTAGAAGTTCGATGTTTTAAGGATAATAACTGTAGTTATTTGTCAATATTATGATAGAAGTACAAGAATAGTGAAATATTAGCCTGAAAAACTAATATCACACGAAACAAACCAGTATACAATGATAAGGCAGAGATACTTATAAAGTTTATATGCTCAAGCATAAATATGTATTGAAAGTTGGCTTACTTCTTTGATTGTTTTCTGACGTCCTTTAACTGCGACTATTGCTATATCTAGTAAATCGGATAACTCAAAAAGATGTGTTCCTCCACATAATTCAGCGGAGATAACAGAATTAAAATCTGCTAGTTCATGATCATTAAATGGATGTTTTTCTTTTGTTATACACACAGTGCGTACTTTTGCACTATACTCCTCCCAAGGGAAGTATCTAATTTGTTTCACCTTGAAAAATAGTATGAAAAGTGATTTTAATTGATTCAATAAAGATGGGTTGATATCATAGATATAGATCCTGACACAGACGTCAGTTCTCACAAGTTGTCATACCATAATAGCATGACAAAATAAAGAGAAAAAGAGGTCAAGGTGGTAGCAATAATATAAAGGACAAAACCTTGGGAATATGGTCTAAAAATGTAGTGGGATTAAGAGTCGAGAGGAAGGTAAAGAGTGAATTCGTCAGCGTCATTGTGAGCCATGATATCCAAAGTCTATAACCACTGACCAATAAGGAATAATCAAGTATACCAAAATGGTAGGAACTCTAACTTTATAGATCCTGTTTAGCCACTTACTTAATAACTACAAAAAACTAGTCGATTATAAGAATAAAATCAGTAGGTCCCAGAGAAGATGTACACGTGCATATCTAAGGACAAACATTGGAAGGACAATATTAGCATCTCTGAGTATATGTTTTTCATAGTACGGCCGTTTATTATTTGCTTAATTATAACAGAATGTTTACATTTCAAACGATTTTAGTTGTCGCTCATAAATAAGCATATTATAAACTGGATTTCTTCAGACATACAATTGAAAACTGACCAACAGGTAACTAAGTATTACAAAAGCACTACCTAATGGTAGCGATACTTCGATAGGAATGTAAATAGAAGCTAATACTATAAATTTAGCCTCAAACATTCAACGAAAACTTTTAATATAAAAAGACAATTCCTATGTTACAGTTCTAAGAATTATTAAAAAATATTACTCTTGTTTTATAATCTCCCTTTTCTATAAACAACTTGTACGCATCTCCACTCCAGGTGACTACATTTTAAAGTAGATAATATGAATAAATATTTAAATTATTAGAAGGGGTTTTGTGGAGATTTGGTATGTTTCATAGATGAAAGCATGAGTTAATTGAAGCTAGACCATCGAGGAAAACCTGGAAGCACTGAACGGCCGTTTCGTCCTATTATGGGACTCCTCAGCAATGCGCATCCACGAACTCGCACTCGCGAGATTCGAACCCAGGACCTACCAGTCTCGAGCCGAAGCCCTTAACCGGTAGACCACTGAGCTGGCATCCAACGGTGTTAATGTCTAACTTCAACTGATCCACGAAGTTGAGTAACCATTCACCAATTGTCATCAGTGAGTTCCTATCTCACGACAGACGTGGTTTGCACTGGTAGACTGGTGGGTCCTGGGTTCGAATCTCGCTAGAGCGGGTTCGTGGATGCGCACTGCTGAGGAGTCCCATAGTAAGACGAAATGGCCGTCTAGTGTTTCCAGGTTTTCCTCGATGGTCTAGCTTCAATTGGCTCATGCTTTCAACTATAAAATATTTAAACGCTTATAAAAAAGTTCACACCATGTTGAATAAAAATCCGTAACTCACTTTTAAAGCATGTGCCAATTCTGTATTCCAAATGGAAATAAATCCATTTTCATTAATTAACTTTTGACACTTTTGTTCTAATTGTCTTGTAAAATCACCTAAATCCTCTTGCATTAGTTCTGACGCTGAACCAATAATAGCAGCTTTTAATGTGAAATAATTAGGGTGAGAAGTACCACCAATATGTTGAAATGCTGAAGAATCCGAAGCACGTGATAGCACTAATGATTCTAAAGCTGATGTAAATAAATGTTGACCAGTATGTGAACACATAAGATTAAATCTCCGTTCCTGAATTTGAAAAAGGAGAAAATAAGAAATATAGTTTTCCTGATGGAAAATCGAGTTCAAAGAAATAGAAAAGAATCGTACTAATGAAAATACTCACAATGGCTAATTTATTTGAGTGGGTGCATATTAGTGTTTTTCAATTGTTTTATAAGTTGTAAGAATGGATGCATGAATCCCATTCAGTCTCGCGCGAGGACGCTTGCATACTCCAAGTCAATGAACCGACATCTACTAGTGTTAATGTCTAACTTCAATTAATCCATGACATTATACAAATTGCACCTACTATTTGATGTGGATAACTGTCCCACACTCCACACGGATCGAATTTCCCTGCGTCCATACTAAGACGAAACGGCCGTCTAGTGCTTCCAGGTCTTCAATGGTGGTCTGGCTAAGATCACTTCGTGATTCTATTGGTTTCTTTATTTCAGATAAAAACTACGAACGAAACAGAAAAATCTGCTCTAAAACCAACGAAAACAACAACGGAAGTTATCTCATGATAAAAACATAGACTAAAAAGAATGGTAGGTTAGAATGATATAAGCTCAAATGAGAAAAAAAGTCAGTGAGCTACACATGATCGCGGATACTGTGATAACACCACCGCTGCTATGACTGTCAAACATAAATCAAAGAAACTATAATTAAAATGGTGGTTGGTTTTAAACACATCGTAAAATGAGTGTATTGAATGTTCACATGGATGAAACAAGACAATTTAGACTTCACAAATGACTTAGTCCTTCTATCTCATACACACCGATAAATGCAGATGAAGACAATTAGTGTAGCAGCAGACTCTGCATCAAGAGAAAAAGCAACATCCTCAAATAGAACACGAAGAACAACCAAATCACATCCAGTAGAGAAGCTCTTGAAGCGGTGGACGTAAAGGCGAGAACTACCGAATGAAGGGCAGCATTTCTACAGTTGAATGACATATAAAATTCAAAACAACTATCAACCAATATCAAAGTCAAAATCTTCAATACGAACATCAAGACAGTTCTACTGTACGAAGCTGGAACTTCAAGAACTACCACAACTATCACCAAAAGGTGTAAGTATTCATAAACAGTTGTCTACGCAATATACTGAATGTCAGTTGGTTGGATACCATCAGCAACAGCCTACTGTGGGAGAGAACAAACCAACTTCCAGCTGAGGAGGAAATTAGGAAAAGACGTTGGAAGTGGATGGGATATACATTAAGGAAATCACCAAACTGCATCACGAAGCAAGCGCTAACTTGGAATCCAGAAGGGAAAAGGAAAAGAAGAAGACCAATCAACACATTAGGCCGGCAATCGGAAGTAAACGTGAAAAAGATGAATAGAAATTGGAAGGGGCTGTCCAGGACAGAGTTGGATGAAGAATGCTGGTGGACTGCCTATGCTCCTCCATGAAGGGTAGCAGGCGTAAGTAAAGAAAGAGTGTTGACAACTGTCGCTCATTACAAGTCGAGGATCATAACAGAAAAGAGTTGAAATGCATTTAATTCATATAAATATGATCAATAATACTATAGGTTATAATATCATAAAGGTGTTCATGACAATATCATGTTGGGATAACCATTAACTGTTGATTAATTCTCACGTAAATAATAAAGTGTGAATAATTTTTCAGAGGTATTATAATTAAATGTACTCACTTTATCAATACTTAGAACAAAAGATTGATCAAAATTCAGATTATTTAATGAAAGAAAGAAATTATCTGGTTTATGACACCAATGTATGATCCAACCATTAGTTGAAGAACTCGAAGTAGGATCAGGAACAAAAGTTGTTTCAATAACTTGAAATTGAAGAATCTGAAGGTAAGCAATCAAAAACAAATAACGGCAGGTACAGTATTTTTTACAGATCAAGTATTAAAAAGAATAATATGTTACGGTATGGAAGCTAGTGAAAAGAAATAAGTGAAAATATAATAACGAACGCTATTCGAAAAGTTTATACATATATTACTAACCCTCACTTATTTATTTCCTTACAATATTATAACCTTATCTATGTGACGTATACAAACGCGTTAGCTTGCTAACATAAAACCAGTGGGTTAAGAAAAATCAAAACTTATGCTCCGCATAAATCTCATTTGATTTGTGTGAGAGCTGTGATACCGTCTGGGTGCCTAAACCGAAGATGGTTTTCTTAAGGGGCCACACCCGGAGCCTTTGACTTAAAGGTCTAATCCACAAGGCAGTGGAGCATCGTGAGGAAATGCAGTGTCATGGTAGCCGGTGACCGACGATTGATTCATACACCATTTGTTCCCTCAGGATACTGGAGCCCATGTGACACCAATGGTTTGGAATCAGGGTTTTTCCAACTTCCCTAGGTGAACCCTCGGTGTCCATCAACCCGGTTAAAGCGCCGAAGATTCGCTTTTCGTCCTCTCACTTTCGTGAACAATATTCCCGTCGCGAGAAGGTAGTGATTAGGACTTTCCTGATAGTGGTTGTATGCACGTGGCCATGTGATAGCATTTCGAGGGGGAGAGCTAACTTTCTGTACTCTCGGCCGTACCAGGGCATTCACTGAAATGCACTGACGAGATGAAGTCAACTGATGACTATTAACAAAAAGCGTTTGTCCGTTATAAAATGTAACAAATGTTAAACCGAACTTGTTTTAACACATACTGTTTAGCGACATAGTGAAAATGATAATTTATTTATTTAAAAAAATTTAGTCACTTACTGGATAGTGAATCTTATCTTTAATAATAAAGTAGCTATCTATTAAACAAAAAAGGCTTAAACATAATTAACTCTGAAAAACCTACATTTATAAATTGATGAAAATTTGTTTTTGATCTTATTTTCATTTCATCAATCACTATACACGTAAATTAATCATTTAAATTTGGTAAATAAAGAAACATACTAATATTATGACAAAAAACTAATAATTTAAAAGCAAACTCGAGATTTAGTTGCGTGAAGGAAGATAAACTGGCCGCCTGCTTGAATATCCGGACAACCTGATCCTGTCATCTAGATATTTCAACAAGTTTGTTTGGTTGTTTTAACACATCATTGTTTCTATTAATCGTACAACCTATTTAGGCGCGCTTATGTAAAGTTTACGACCTTTCGCTGTACAAGTTACAAAAAAGTATAATTACAGACATCGTAGTGGCTGGCAATATGCATTTAAAAGAATGAATATTATTCAGATGTCGAATCTTGGACTGCTAACATCTAACCGTCGACCAATCAATATTTATCGTCAAGATCGATCAAGAAAGAAGAAAACGTAGTGTTGAAATACTTTGTGATGGGAATCCTATATTGTACAAAAATATAATATTGAGTAAAGCCATTAATAATAACACTTATTTACGTCCGCACAAAATGTTTCTTATTTGAGTATAATTTCATAGAAATTACCTTAGAAGGATAGTGAATGAAACCTGTATCAGTGTCTTGACCACCACGTGATGTAAAAAAGTTAGTTTTTTCAAAAATAAAACCGAGTAAATTATTAGCAGTTTCATTATTTGATGCATCGCACAGATTTTGAATGACAGAAGTAACATCTGAATTCGACGAAGATTGTTTTGTAATTAACGTATAATCTGTGTGTTTATTACCAATCGCAAGTAATCCTAGTAATTTTGTTTCACAATCTGGGAAATCTATAACAAAGAAGAAAACGTACGCTGAGGAGTATATGAAAGTATACGTATTAAATTGATAGTTCCTATGGTTAAACTACTCTCATTTAGTGAGTTTATCGAAGTTTGACCAAGGACAACGGCAAAACACATTACATAAAAGTGGAGATATACGTTTCCAAAAAATGTCTATACATTCTTGTTTTCAATAAAAACATCAGATATGTAAATGATTGATTTGACAATCAAAAACTTATTTCATTAATCTGAATATGAAAGTTGTGTTGAGATATCCTATCGCAAGAATATCGTGTAATTTACAAGACTTGGATAGACATCTAAACAAAGATGATTACGGCACTACACTACCGCACCACTTTTAGGTAAATAAGCTTACGTATTATCCAAAAGATTAATAAACATAATGAAGGAATTTCAAAGCTTGAACATGTGCTATTATCTATACAGAATAGAAATCCATCTACGATATGGAGCGTGCTCAACTTATTCATAATATGGCAACCTAAATATCAATAAATGTTAATAAAGATATTGCAAATAAATGGAGCATAAATATATCCATACCAAAGGTAGCCTAAAAGAATCTCAGTGTCTTGCTTCTTGGGTGCCTTTGTAAAACCTATACTTTAACATTTATTATAACTGATTATTAACTCTCTACTAGAGATCAAGGGTTAAGTTTAAAGGAAAATCATGTTTTCTTGGTTGAGTTAATAAAATAAAACAATCTAGAGCTATCTATCAATTGTTACTAGTCGCCTGGAGAAATTTCTTTAACAAACATATAAATTTAATACCACCATTGGGAGATTCACGTTTCTGGTTTCACAGATAGTAGGAGCTGGTAGAGAAATACCTTAAATTATGAACTTCAAATTAAGAATTGGTGGATTCAAGAAATATGCGGCATACCAGTCGTTTCAATCTAAATCAATCTTTAAATTAAAAAATGACATGTCGTGATAATGTAATGCAGTTCATGACTCACCGTATTGTCTAGTTGCATTTAGATCCGGTTCAGATTTTCGATAACAGTTATATTTAAATGAATCATCCGTAAACGGTACACATAAATTATGCAACTGACGTGAAATTACATTTGAATTTAATTTCTGACTTCTAAACAGTAATGGTTTATTCTTGTCCGATGGAGAGTTAGTTTCGATTGGCAAAGGTGGCAAAAGACCAGCCCAACATGATTGTGCACATATCATATCCCAGCTTATATGATGTCCATAATCACCGTTCATTAATTTAGTTACTTGTTCAGCTAAATAGTGAGTAGTAATATTGATAAAGAAAAGTGGTAAATCTTGAAAATTCTCATAAAGTATAAGGTAGGTTACTAACATTTGGGCAGTTACATAGACATTTCTAGAAGATAGGATTTTTAAGTACAAGTTTACTAGCTCAGTCATAAAACAAAAGTCAAGATTTCCTTGCTATTTATGTAGTGAACAAGAACATCGGCGGGGAAAATCTAATGTATTTGAGCACGAATTACAGAATATCTCACTAAAATCTGACAACCAAACAGTAAACAGTTGATTTGCAAACTATCAATCAATTGTCTCAATCTTGACTGTTCTTTCTGAAAATATCAGTCCATCGTCTCTGATTTCATTGTTCATTCATTTTTACACCAATTGCGTTTCGTTTCTGTTCTTTCGTGATCCATCTTCTGTTGAAATACATTCTATGCCTGACCATCATATACTACTTATGTGGATATAAGTAGCCCACACCACATTTAAACTATGATATATATTTAAAGAACTGTTCTGACCATAACCATAACTTCCATTGACTAATTTCTTTGTACTAAATAGTATTATTATTTTGTAAAGTTTATCTATCAGTGCCTACAATTCATCAAGTTTATGTTGCACGTCTTAAACAAGTCAATCATTCTACAAAAACCACTCCATATATTACCTGACAATTGTCTCCTATCAGTGCATTCTTCCAGACACCGACTAAATGACTTTTCCATATGAAATAGACGAGGTGCAAACCAAGTCACTTCTTCATTAATAATTGATTCCATCTATAATAATTAGGAGTTGATTATTGTCAAATAAGGTATAAACAAACCGAAAGTAACAAAGATAGATATGAAATTAAAAAAACAAATTAAAAGTCACATAATTAAGACTTTATAGTTTAAAAGCTGTACTTTAAATGAATACTCTAAATATCCAATCGAATATTTTAATTTAATATAAGTAACTTTATACCTAAGATACTTTTAATCATAAAATGATACAAATTGAGGAAACCAGTTAACTCCAGTGACCACTGGAAGAATATTCTGTTCTACTTTGTGGCTCTTAAGTAGAATTTGTCCTTAATTATACTGACAACTGATGTCAGTACCTCTTCATATTATAGGATGACCAGCTTTCTTCAAATGAAATCGATTTACGAAATAGTGGAACCACAATCTACAATGTCATTCCGTTAACATTTATCCACATTCCAAATATATATATATAGCGTACCATATAAATGAAAATAAAAGAATAAATATCGTTGATGTTATTTTTTGCATTTTTGATGGAAAAAAAGACATTCGATGATTTTAAAATTGAACGTTAGATTATTTGATCACAGTTGCAGATAACGGAGATACTCATCAGAATAGGATGGGATCCGTGTGTATGTGATAAAAACTTGACTAAGAAACACATAATTACATACACAATTATCAAGCTTTTGTAGTCAGTCTATAGCCAAAGTAAGGCCTGTCAAAGTATGCATCAATTTCAATTGCTACAATTTACATCAGCACAGTAAAAGCTATTAAATGCCCCAGTACGGCAAAGAGTACAGAAAGTTAGCTCTCCCCCTCGAAATGCTATCACATGGCCACGTGCATACAACCACTATCAGGAAAGTCCTATTCACTACCTTCTCGTAGCAGGGGTGATGTTTACGAAATTGAGAGGACGAAAGGCGAATGTCCGGCGTCTTAACCGGGTTAATGGACACCGAGGGTCCACCCAGAGAAGTTGGAAAACCCTGATTCCAAACCAATGGTATGCATGGGCTTCAGGATCCTAAGGAAACAAATGGTGTATGAATCAATCGTTAGTCACCGGCTACCATGACACTGCATCTCCTTACGTTGCTCCACTGCCTTGTGGATTACACCTTCAGATCAAAGGCTCGGAGTGTGATCCCCTCAGGAAACCACCTTCTTTGGGTTAGGCACCTGGACAATATCCCAGCCCTCACATAAATTGAACGATTTATGTGGTACATATTTATTTGGTGCCTTCTTGTACCAATGTTTATGTGCTCAAATAATAATAACCCACAGCGAAAATAAATTAGTGTTTGAAATAATGGTAGTGTTAGTAATAGTAGAATCTAACATAAGAATTATAATCCAAAGAGAATGAGTGAAATGGAAGAACAAATGGTACAAAGTATTACTAAAACTCAATGTGTCTACGATAAACTATGAATGCTTCTGCGTCATTATGATAGACTTGGACATATGATAGAATTATTTTTTTTTAAAATTAGTAATTATTTGTAAGCACATTGTTCTCACTTTAAACCTACCCTGGTAATATAATTTTATAATCCAGCGTGGAGAGTTTCACACTGTTTTTCACATTATTTTCTTTATCTGTGTTCCCTCTCACTCTCCATATGTTTAGTTGACCTTTTATTTTTATATATAAATGTTATTAGCAAATATACGTGTGATTATATTGCTCGAAATGTATTGCGCTTACGTATCAAATAGCTCAAATAATCTTTGTCCCCTTAAGACATTACTTGAATTTATCAAAGGGACTAATTACTTTAAATGTTAGCTACTTAAACCGCACGATGACGCATTTACATTTTTATTCATATTTGCCTTGTGTGTGTGGTGGTTTTGCACTGTACAACAATAAACTGTAGTCACTACTTCGTATTGTCTTCTTAAACTCATACACCGTTAAAAGTTATCTAATAACGGTTATCAGGACGGATAAGATATGAAGCATAAGACTAATCATGAAGATATTCTACAATGGATCAATATCATAAAATAATCACTAATTATACTTGTTTATTCCATAAAGTAGACTTTTGAATACTCTATAAGTGAAGGTTGGTTATTCAGCTAATTAATCGAGTTCTGATCAATAGATGATGTTAAATAATACATTGCAGTTAACTGACAACGCCTTACATAATGAGTCAGTTCGAAATCTTTTTACAGTTAAACTGTTGGCTATGTGCTGTTTAAATAAAAATTACTATTAAGATTGACTATAAGATGTGTATAAAACTAGTGCCTTAAAGAAAAAAAAGGAAAATAAAAGCCAAGTTGATCTAGTAAATAAAGAAAAACTATTTTAATGCAGAGTAATGACCACATTATACGTTAAACAAGTCGTAGAGAATATTATTATGTGACAAATATCTTATGAACACTTACAAAAGTGATAGTGGAACTTCACTCATCTAGTATAAACACATCAAAACACTAAACTAGTTGGAAAAAGCATTCGCTGAAATATACATCAAGAAAATATGATATAATTTATATGGTTTGTATGAGTTAAAGAAATTTATAAACATCAATATGATAATCAGCTTACTTGTTCCGGAGTTAATGCATCAGACTTTCTACAGCTAGGTCCTCTTATGGTAGCCATTGTGTTAAAAAACGACTTAAGACTAAGAACATCTCTTTTGGCTACTTCAGATACCAAAGCTCCCAGGAGAGATTTTAATTTCCCCGACGTGGTTATTTCTGTATCGAGACCAGTTAAAACAGATGCACGAAAAGCCCGATGAATAAGCTGACGAATTTTTAGAGGTAGACCTTGACGTCCTGGTAATAAACCATCTGATAAGGCGAATGCTAAAGCACGACTATGATCGACCAATACTCGATAGGCGGTATCTCGATGCCACATATCAATAAGATCGTTATCCATGTTAAAATTTTTCCAAGACTGATCTAGGGCGAGATGTGATTTTGAGCAGACAGCCTATATAGGCAAGTCGAAGTGCACATGAAAACAATGAATGAAACAAAAATTCACTGATAATATAAGCACTTTTGACAGTCGTCTATGGTGATTTATAAAAATACAAACTATAACTGAAATTTAAATAATATTCACCTCAGCTATCAACCGACAGAACACGGTGATAACTAAGTGTGGAACGCAGATGTTTAGACGTCTAGTATTAATGTTTCCTTTGACGCTTCGGTTTACTATACAAGACTACAAATGAGAGTTTTATCTTCCGAGATACAACATTACAACAGTAATTTGTTCATTAATAGTGGTTCGTTGTTATAAAAAATTGATTCGAATAACTTTCTTAAAACCAATAACTTAATCACTTCTTTATAATTAAGAATGATAAATGAACTAACAACACCGTAAGTCATTAAGTCACGAAAGTAATATGTGTTTATACTTCATTTCTAATAGTTAATTCTTAACAATTTGCATCATTGATAATAATTAATCATATTTTTAGTTGCATACAATCACTGCTTACATATTTACATCATCACTTTGTAAAGATACCATTATCGTTCTCGAAACAGTTTAAATCTTTTTTCGTCAACAAACGGAGTCACATATCGTTTATTTTCCTTCTAAAGTCGACAATGAATGCAAAATTAAAATTTTCTGTGGTAATTAACGTTGAAAGTTTGATTAATTTGAGTGAAACTAATAATTATAAAAAGTAAGTACTCAAAACCCTAACTAGAAACTTATAAAAACCAAAGTGAAAAACTTTCAGGAATGTACTTACAGAAGATGAAGATTTTCCAGATATTTTGTTCCACAGAAAAGATAGAGTAATTTCTGAGTGATCTTTGTCTGTTTTAATTTCACCATCTTGTAGAGGATTGGATAAAAATAAACCTTGATAAGTAGGTACAGAACGATTACATGAGTTTGTCTTTGAGTGTATAAACTCCATTAAACTATTCATCTCATAAGAATCATAATTCGATGTCAATCCCTGCAAGATGATTATTGAAAAATAAACATGATCAAAAAATTAGTAAAATAATACAAAACAGAAAGATGGATCAAGCCATTTTTATGTACTTTAGGCTGACCATTTAATATCGCTGTTATTGTCCTTTTACGTTTCAGGATTTCAAACAAGCTGACTGAAATTAAACCTTGTCGTTCGATTTTTCTTCTACGAGTCTGTTAAGTGTACTTCGATCTTATCTGTCAAACTACTGTTTACTGTCAGTTTGAGTAAACCACTTCTATCACTTTGTAAAGAGCACATTTTTCTGAATAATCTTTTCTGTCCATCCGAACTACTTTATGATCTTCGTCTGGTCTTGAGATTAACAAATTACCACTCGTTTTAAGCTCATGTGAAACTCGTTTGTACTTCTTTGTCAAAATGCCTTTCGAATTATATCTGCTGCTTAAGTGCTTAAGGTAGTAATTAACTAGCGTATGTTTAAACTTTTCAATGTCATTGTTTGATGAAGGTACTAACTATACATTCCGTTTGTGTATATATGTTTTAATTTGTAAATCCAATATTTGTTTTTGCTTCGCTAAGCCATACGCCATAGTTCAGTTACAAATCGTGAATGTTTAACGCAAATCCCTTCTCAAAAGATTTCAATAAAGCGGAAATTCCCATTTAAACAAACCTCTGTTTAAAAGTATACTGAAAATCATTATGTTATTCAATAGTTCGACTTAATGTGCGGACGCTGAAAAACTATGCGTCAAACAAAATTTCATAAATGAAGTATTTGGAGAAGAATTTTATGCAGACGATGAATTATCGAAATTCCAAAAACAAAATGTCTTTGGCTACGTGATGATGGTTGCCATAACAAGTATAGATTAAAAAAATTGTCTAACCACTGATAAGCCTAAAAAATTTGAAATTACGTTTCCATCAAACCCAGGTCAAAATGTTGATAATTTTTCCAGTTTCCAACTTAATATGGTAAAATTAGAAGCATTATCAATTGATCTTAAGTTTTGTGACATTAGGAAAATGATTAGTAAGATGGAAAACATGTATACATAAATGGAATGTATAGTTAGTACCTTCATCAAACAATGACATTGAAAAGTTTAAACATACGCTAGTTAATTACTACCTTAAGCACTTAAGCAGCAGATATAATTCGAAAGGCATTTTGACAAAGAAGTACAAACGAGTTTCACATGAGCTTAAAACGAGTGGTAATTTGTTAATCTCAAGACCAGACGAAGATCATAAAGTAGTTCGGATGGACAGAAAAGATTATTCAGAAAAATGTGCTCTTTACAAAGTGATAGAAGTGGTTTACTCAAACTGACAGTAAACAGTAGTTTGACAGATAAGATCGAAGTACACTTAACAGACTCGTAGAAGAAAAATCGAACGACAAGGTTTAATTTCAGTTAGCTTGTTTGAAATCCTGAAACGTAAAAGGACAATAACAGCGATATTAAATGGTCAGCCTAAAGTACATAAAAATGGCTTGATCCATCCGAACAATTTTGGTTATGAATAATTCTGCATAACACCCTAGAGCGTAACAGATAATAAAAATTTTGGTAACAGAACGTATTTACTATCAATATTAAACGAGAAAATAAAACTTAAGAAGTACAAAAAATCTCTTGAACTAACCTGCATCACACATGCTAGTCGTTCTAGTCCCATTCCAGTATCTACAAATGATTTAGTTAAAGGTTGAAGAAGGTCAGGTTTCAAATGTTTCTCGGTCACATCGTTATCAGCTATGACACGATGTGTTATGAAAACACAATTCCACAGTTCCAAAACTTGGGGGCTAGAAGTATTCACTAAACAACGTGCACAGTCTAATTGGTCTCCACCGCAAAGTGCTTTGAAATCTATATGTACTTCAGTTGACGGACCACACAATCCTCCACCACTAAACTGATTTGCACGCCAAAAGTTTGATTCAATACCGAATGGCATTAATTTTTGATCCATCACCCTGGAATAAGATAAATTAAGTTTAGTATTTCAGTATTGGTCAGAAACAGTGAATCATATTATCACATGTTTTGATATCTTATCGAATATTGTAATACAAAGGACTCAGACTACAGAAATATTTTGTACTGTGAAAAACCCATTTACTGACGGGATGGAAGTGTAGTAACGACATGATGGTATGATGTAAATGAGTTAAGTACCACAAAATGCGTAAGTTATATTAAATATCTTTTGTGCTCTGGTAATTAAAACTATCTAGGAAAAGAGAGTGGAGGTGATTTCCTCGTTGGGGCGGCGACTACGGTCACTACGTCGTATGATTGAAGCCCACTCCATCAACCACAGTTTAGGCACTTGCACAGTATCACTAACCCTCAATCGAATTCGGTACGCTAATCTGTGTCTGGTAAAAGAGTGGAATAAATAAAGTAGATTATTTCTTCTGACAACTTAACTAGCAATTTATTATAACAGAAGATTAGGCTGGATTTACACAACTCAAGGTTTATCTCCAGTTGAACTATGAAACTTTCTAATATTTAAACAAATGTAAGTTAATAAGTGTTTCTTCCCTCACATTGATGATCATAGCTTCATGCTAATATAAAAACATTTTAGCTAATGTCAACGAAAAATAAAACAGTATGGTAGGTCAGTTAGTTACGTCCATACCACAAAAAATTGAGAAAAGATAATAAGTAGTAGATCTCAGGATGAGCTGAACAATCACAATAGTTTAAAAATACCAAATCCCTTTGATTTGCATACACAAAAAGATAAAACGTTGACTCAGTAGACTAGTTGCCATCATCTGTTTGGTGGATTAGGAGTTAAAATATTTCTTTTTGAAAAAGGGTCCAATCTACGATCTTAAGAAAAAATTTGCATAAAACTAAATTATATTAGCTTTATCTTTGGAAAAATTGACAGTCATTGTTTAAAATATACACAATCATAAGCGTAAACTTCACTGAGTGAACAAATAAACTAATATAAAAACTCCACTGTTTTTGAAGTGACTGTGGTGAGTATGTAAACAGATGAAACTCAGTAGCTAAGTTCATGTTTCATACTTATCGTGTGGAAGTTAATGATGCCAGTCGATTATTCAGATTTCACTCTTTAAGGGCATGAGTTTATTGCAAGAACATTTTGTTCATCGCCTACTGATGAATAGTCATATGAACTGAATATAATCGAAAATATTTATTACTCGCAACTAACTGTTCAACTATCTCGAAAAGTAGTCTAGATAATGAATTACCAACTTACCCCAAGTTCAGCCAGATATCACGTGTTTCATCATCTGGAGGAAGTCCAAGTTTTTGATCACCACCGAAATATGTTATGTAAATTGCATTGGTAGGCAGGTTTAACACCTCAGTAAGAAATTTCCAAACCTGAGAGCAAGCCTCTTTCTAAGATATACCACAGTCACATAAAAAATCGAAAAACAGAGACAGCAACAATTTTCATAGAACTATTTAAACGACAAAGGTTTAAATGAGGTATACCAAATAACTTTGAATAAAACAGGTATGGATAGCGTCACTTGTTGCATAGGCGAGAAGTCTGTCTGACAATCAAAGGGAAAGTATACTGCTCAGCAGTTTGCAGCTTTTTGATATTAAGTGTGTTCGAAGCATTTCTCCTGCGTCGTAATACGACCAAGAAAGTAATGTTGTGGCTAGACATCAAGTAATTAGCAAAAATGTAAAATTGATCGGTGAAGTTGAAAGCGCTTATCCACTAAGTTGGTCAGGACATGTGTTACGTATGCACAACCACTGCTTACTTTAGCATGCAATGTTGGCTGATGTAGAGGTTGAAAGAAAGCTTAAAGATCAAACGAAGAATCATTGGCTGACTGACCTATGTTGGCAAATGCAGACTATCTGGATGAAGCCAGAGCAGTAAATGAGATCTGTGATTAGAGATACTGGGTGATATATCTTAAAGGCGGCTACAATGGTGCAAAGAGATTCAACTTTCTTTCGTTAAATCTTGAGCGCGGGTACAATTTCATGCATATCTTTCCATTTCATTCTCTCGAACCACATTCTTAATGTTAAGGGCATCCAGCTTTCACTGCTACTAAAAGAATTTAGACACCTTGGCTACTCATCTTGCGATCCCGATATGGTATGATAATTTGGGCCAACGCACATATGTTTCGGTTTTTAAGTTGATTATAACCAACTAATTCGGCTGACCCGTGATTAATAATAATAATACATAATAATGGTGATCTGGAACTACATGTTTTGCAGTGAAGTATAATTCTAGATATCTGTTGAAAGATAATCTTGAGACGTTAAAAAATTAGAAACGTCGGTAAAGTAAAACCGTATACAAAACGGTTAATATGTAGATATTTTCGAAGGTATTGTAGATTTAACTTTCAAGATAATAACACTAGAGTGAATGATCAGTAATGACTATAAGGTGCAGTTAAATTTGGCTGTAAATAAAAAGACCACCCACTAGCTAGCGGCTAGCAGTGGAATTCAGGATGCTCATCATGTCCTATTTGGGACTAGTCAGCTGGATGTACCTGCATCTAATAGTTGATGTTTACTCTGGAACTCAAACCCAGTACCGTTCACTTCAAACGCCATTGCGTTGTCCACTTAGCTACTAATCAATTGCAGTCCTAAACATCAATGGGAAGATTCAAGTAAATAATACCGAGTGAATTCTTAATGCTTTTGTCTCTAAATAAATAAGGCGGTTTTTTAAATGATAGTGCGACCGTTGACTTCCTAGTTGTCATTGAAACTAATACACCGAACGAATGTTTAGTGTAACTCATTTACCAAGGACAGGTTTATGTATTTAACCTTGAGTCATATTTTTTTGTGCGGGAGCAAATGGCTTCCAATTGTTGGAACTGAGGTCGGCAAAACGAGGTTCAAACCGGTGACACAGTGATTTGGATGTTGCATATAAGTTAAGTGTATTCGCAATTGTATTTGAAATAGATATAAGTGTAAGCAAATCCAACACAATCTTACGACCCGTGATTTGATCCAAAGAAATTTATCAAGGCAGAATAGATTAAATTAAACATATCTACGATAAGCTTTATTTTCGGGCTTATAACACAATATAGAATCATCAACCATCATGAGTCAAACAATTTGGTAAAAAAGAACATAAAATTGACTGGCCCAATCCGAATCAAAACTTTCCCCCATAAAACCGAGACAAACCTTATAATAGTCCCCGAACGACCAACTGCCCAACATTTCAAACATTGTATGATGATGCCTATCATATCCCACATCATTTAAATCATCATGACGACCACCGATTCGAATACATGGCTGTGAGTTGGTAGCACGTCGTAACTGCTTAAATTCTGAGCAAATACTATCCGACTGATTGAGAAAAATTGGTTTAAATTGGTTCATACCTATCCTGACCGAATAGAAAAAAAGTACAGGAAAACCAACAAGTAACTTTTAAAAATTTGATTTCATGAAACTATATTAATGTAATGAATTGCAGAGTAAAACTTGGTGATAATACGCGATAATTAAAAACCTCGACAAATCAATATATGAAACTTGTGATTTATTAGCAAAACACCAGACCCCTAAACCTACGAGGTAAGGCTGCATATTTTATTTATTTATTTAAACACATATTGGTACAAAAGGGCACCAGGTACATATGCACCACACAAAATAATGAAAGTAGGAAGAGAAGGGATGAAAAGATAAGGCTGACTGAAATGTACAACCAGAAGACTCTTTCAGTTAAGAGAGTTAGAACCATTCTTTATGTAGAAAGTAAAAGACGGTTGCAGCAGGATCGCCACTGGATTCTATTCTGAGCCATATCTGATAACGTCTCTAGCCACTGTGCTGCACCATCTCTCGGACCCCCTGAGGGGATCACACTCCGAGCCTTTGATCTGAAGGTGTAATCCCTAAGGCAGTGGAGCAACGTAAGGAGATGCAGTTCCATGGTAACTGGTGACCAACAATAGGTTCATACTCCATTTGCATATGATATATATATATATATATATATATATATATATATATATATATTCGTCAAGTTTTAGAGCACAGACATGCTTATCGGCGTCCGACAATGAGTTTTTCTTGACTTAAAAGCAGCATTTGACTCTGTAGACCGAGAGATCCTGTGGCAGTGTCTGTCATTGGAACGTGTACCTGGGAAGTACATAAACCTTGTGAAGGCTCTCTACTCGAACACTACCAGCCGAGTGAGAGCTTATGGCGAATTGTCATATGATTTTACAACCTCAAGTGGTGTCTGTCAAGGCTGTCCACTATCTACATTTTTGTTTAACTTCATTATAGACCTGTTGCTGGAAATAACACTCGTCGACTGAATTTTCAGGAATTGATCTTCTACCAGGAGGTTCACTTATCGACTTAGAATACGCAGATGACAGTCCTGTTTGGTGAAGACACTGACAAAATGCAGAGTCTTCTGTTGGAACTCAGTAATAATGCCAGGATGTTTGGGATGCGTTTTTCCCCATCCAAATGTAAATTGTTACTCCAGGACTGGCCTGCGTCAACACCTAAACTAAGGATAGGGAGTGTAGTAGTCGAACGCATCGACAACTTCACTTATCTTGGAAGTCTAATCAGCAAGTAATGGGTTGGTGTCTGACGAAATCTCAGCACGGATTCAAAAAGCTCGTTTGGCTTTTGCCAACTTACGTCACCTATGGCGAAGACGAGATATCCGTCTATCAATTAAGGGACGAGTAGACTGCGCAGCAGTTCGTTCTGTTCTACTTTACGGCTGCGAAACATGGCCACTAAGAGTAGAAGATACTCGTAGGTTACTAGTATTTGACCACAGATGCCTTAGAAATATTGCTCGCATCTGCTGGGATAACCGGGTAAGTAATAGTGAGGTTAGACGCAGGGTATTAGGGAATGATGGTAAATCAGTTGATGAGGTGATGAATCTTCATCGACTGAGATGGTTGGGCCACGTGTTACATATGCCTGAACACCGATTACCACGACGCGCAATGCTGACTAGTGTAGGGGATGGTTGGAAGAGAGTTAGGGGCGGCCAAACCAAAACATGGCATCAGTGCTTGAAGTCACTAACTTCTAGTCTGAGCCATGTTGGCAGATGCAGACTACCTGGTTGGGGTCCGCGTGACTATCGTAATCAATGGTTGGAGACTCTGGGTGAAATGGCCCAGGATCGATCACAATGGCGTAGGTGTATACACTCCTTATCTTCCCTTAAACATTGAGATTAAAATTGCTTCATAACTTTTTTCCTTATATACAACCTTTCTTTATATACTACCACCACTAAATTAATTACTTCTATGAATCCGGTGTTCATCTTGTTGTGCTAACGAGTTATGGCAACTTGGACCGATGCATATATGTGCCTGGTCCTACGTTGTCGCTGAATGATATATATATATATATATATATATATATATATATATATATACATTCGATTTATGTGAGGGCTGAGATACTGTCCAGGTGCCTAACCCGAAGAAGGTGGTTTCCTGAGGGGACCACACTCCGAGCCTTTGATCTGAAGGTGTAATCCACAAGGCAGTGGAGCAACGTAGGGAGATGCAGTCCCATGGTAACTGGTGACCAACAATAGGTTCATACTCCATTTGTTTCCTTAGGATCCTGGAGCCCATGTACACCATTGGTTTGGAATCAGGGTTTTGCAACTTCCCTAGGTGGACCCTCGGTGTCCATCAACCCGGTTAAAGCGCCGGACATTCGCCTTTCGTCCTCTCAATTTCGTAAACAATACCCTTGCATATGAAATGCAGTAAGGTAATCTAAAACTGTAGGCAAGATAAAAAAAATACTAAATACCATGACAGTATCGCAGTTTTAAAAGACCATATAATATTATAAGGTTATGTTCATAAGTTAAACCGTCTGTAAATAAAAGTGTACCATTTGTGACAGAAATTATTGATGAAAGAAGTTGAAGTACTTTCTACATAACCTTTTTTGGGTATATAAAAATGAGTCTGGGAAATTAATCCTACTGTATGAGTTGATATCTACGATGGACACTAAAAAATTGTTTGTGTGACAATGAAGTACATCCTTATATAGAAATGATAATTCTATGAAAACAATAAAAATATAACATTGTAAATAAAGATGAAGCTTATTTAACATAATATAATGCTTAATGTAGTAAAGTAAAAGTAATAAATAAAACCTTACTCAGTAACTTTTACTAACACAATGATTCTCATCTTACTGAATCATTTCAAAATATCATAAAACAATTTAATGAAATGACAAAACTAGTATGGGAGCTTATGATCTAGTATTATGCATTTACAAATATAGTAATATAAACAATGTCAGTAATACGATGTCTAAAGATTAGGCTTAACAGTGAGGTCTTAATTGATTGGAGAATGAGTGACCTACAAGTTAATTTCCTCCAATCACCTATGACATTTTATCGTGTTTATTCTGTGTTCATATTCTGTATAGGAGCACGTTATTTTGGTCTTGCCTTAGATTTCTAATTATTCAGGGGCCTAAGTCAATAATACGATCTCGTAAGTAACTAACATTCGCCCGCACTATACCATTGGATTCATCCAGTAATTGGGATTCTATTCATATATTTCAATAATCGAAAATTTTTATCTGATCAAATCACAAAAAACTTTCTCCGCATAACAGATAGGGACTCATGTGTGTGAGAAATAGTAATTGAAAGTGACCAAGTAAATTAGCTACAGATTTCACAACATTTATTTAGAGACTATTAGTAATGAGTGTGTTTGTGGTTTAGAAAGATGGATGAAAATTAAAGCTGGATTACTTTAAAACATAATATACAAACCTGCATTGATGAAATAACTCCCTTCGTGACGCTTCGGAAATACGGAAGCCGGTGCCACCACTGAATGTTGGTGACTTTGAAAAAAGTTAATAAATTCTCGTCGAAGTTCCGAAACAGAAGAGTTTCGTAAACGAATAGAGGATGCAAGAGAAACATGTCGAGGGACTGACTGATCAGGAGCTAACGTACAACGACCAGTAGCATGTATATCCTGACCAGATGACGGCACTATTGCAAAACCTTTGGAGATTATATACGATGGATACTTTTGGTCAAACTAAAGCAATCGAGAGCAAAGAAACAACTACTAGTAAATTGTATGTAATAAGCGAATATTTAGAATGAAGAAAAACATAGATTTCGAAGCAAAAATTATCACTAGAAATCACGAACTTGGGCAAAGTAAAAAATAGGTGAATACAAAACTAGTTTTATGTAAATCACACGTCATAACAGTGATAAAGATGAAGTACTGATACATTCGATGCTTAAAATATTTTTTCTCCCTCAAGTATATTACGACGATACGTTAATACGATAATGAGAATAGTAACGTTATATCACATCCAGGTTTCACGAACCAGAGGATCAACTAGATAATACTTTATTCAACAAAATTAAAAGCAGTCACTCTCAGTGTGTCAGGGTAAGAAATCAATGAGAGGGAAGAGTCACGTATTTAATAGTCAGTAGGCTATGACTGTCTATCCACGCTCAACGACCAATCAATTTTACTTTCACTAATACATATAAAATACTAAAATATATTATTAGGTTCCATATTGATAGTTACTCTTTACTTTAGATTTCTGCCGGACCTGATTAACCCGAATACGCTACACATATTTTATAACTATTATTATAAACTTATAGAACAGACTCAAGAGCTTGACTCTGAGCTGCACTCTAAGTATGAGGGCTAGTGATGACACACGACCATCTAAACCAAGGTAGCTGGAGTATAGTTCGAATGTGTGAATCAACAACTAAACGTCAGACCACTGAACTATGAGTATTAATATGGTTCAGTCTAATCGTCAGTGCCTTCATGGACCAAATGCATGTTTTGGTTTGGTCATCCTTAGACTTCCTTAACCCTACTCCTACACCACACAACATCGCTCGTAGAAGCAGATCGTGGTTAGGCATACGTAACACACGTCTCAACCACCTGAGTTTATGAAGATTTATAATCCCATCAATCGATTTGTCACCTTTACCTAGTACTCTATTTTTAATCCAGATATTGCTTACTCGATAATCCCAAAATACACGAGTAATGCTTCGAATACATCTATGGTCGAAAAATAGTAATTCGCGAATATCCTCTTTTCTTAATGGCCATGTTCTACATCCATAAATTAGAACGGAGTGAACTGAAGCGCAGTAAACTAGTCCTTCCGTTGGCAGACGGATATCTAGCCTACGCCACAAGTGACGCAACTGGTAAAAGACAATCAAGCCTTCTAAATTCGTGGCGAGATTTCGTCAGACATCAGACCATTGGTACTGATGAGACTCCTAAGACAAGTGAAGCGACCAATATGCTCAACTACTTCACTCCATATCATTAAATCAGATTATACAAGCCAGTCCTGAAGTGACATTTCGCATTTGGAGAGAGAGAACTGCACTCAAACATGCTTCCATTTTTATTTAAGGTGGTCAGAAGGCTATGTTTTGTCAGTCTTCCCCAAACAGAAATATATCATCTGCGTATTATCGGTCAACGAGTGAATACAACTACTTTCAAAAGTCGAAAATTGTGTCTATGTTTCTTAATCAGCCGAATGGTGAATATGTGGTTAATGCATACACATACAGGTCTGAAACTAGCTTGGTTTTTTCGAGTTTGCTCTCCAGAGGGCTCTAGTTAGACGTCAAAGTAAATAAATGCTTAGTTTTAGTTACACTACTTTTGTAGGGACCAGTGATATTATCCAGTTGCACAAACCGAAGTAGGTGGGGCGGAGTTCGAGTCTGTGATCGAGTGCTTGAAAGCAGCTTTCCAATCACTGAAAAGTCAAAATGTAACACATCGCATGGATATTTACAGACGAACATTTTCTTTCACACCTAATATGGTTCAAGTGAAGCTTAGTGTGGAAAACTAGGGTCAACAGACCACATAAACAATAACTCAACCACAATGAGTTCTAAATCAATATCCTTAGCTATAATTTTCAATAGTTTTGATCCGACCGTTCTTTCGACAGACTGTATGTGGTAAAAAGTATGTGCTTGTAAAATCGTTACGTCTTACGACCTGTTTATCTTTTCGCCGAAAGCATATCTTTACAAACAATCCCATTCGTTCACACTCTATACATGACACTTCAACAGTACAATGTCACATTCAAACGATAACTGTAATGCACAGCAATAATTTGTTTGATTCACTTGGTGTCTTTTACCGACGAAGTTTGTTAACTGGTGATTATTTATTTTGAAATCAGACTCTTCAAGTTCCAAAACGTCAAAGACCTACTTATTTACTTCATTAGGATCCTATGGAAACGTAACCATTATCTTCTGTTATCTTCATCATCTTACTTGGGACTTACTCTAGTTTTTTTGACCCGAAGGAAGAAGCTAGTTTTTGATGTTGGGAAATGAAAAAAAGTCATTTTTCAGTGTTTAATCCTCAACCAGCTACAATAGCAGACCATACACCTGTGATGAAATTAAATGGAAAATGATTAGACGGACCATATGAAAGACAAGGAACAAATTAAGCTGACATTACACAGCCTTAAAAAAGTATTTTTGTTATCTACAAAAAATGTGCGGTTGTTAATGATAATATTAAAAAGAATTCATAGGATAAATGTTATTCGGAACGCAGTCCTAATAATCATACACCTACAAGTAAATCTAGCCCAAATTACAAAAAGGGGTTGAAATTTTGATCACTACAAAAAACTAGTTGGCTTATCTTTCTTACCTGACTATTTACGCGAGACAAGGCTTGTACACACTGCTTTGAGAAAATTTGTGATTGCATACTAAGGATTTTTCTAAATTAGTCTAACTCCAATAAGCCCGGACCATTCCGGAAACAGTAGTTAGCGCACCAGTCGAAGTAGAAAAGTCGATGTTTTCGTTTACTTTCCCCAATACCTCACTTCCGACTAACGTAAGATGTGATAGATTAAGCAACAAATCAGCCAACATATAAAGAAATCAAACTGGAAAATTTACGAGCACATATAACTAGTGTATCTCATATCTGGAAATTGGGCCAATAAGTGTTTTACTTGGAGATGGGAGGTTAATTTGAAGAAAACATGATATGATCAAATGTTTTTCACTTTATTTCTTCAACGCAAACTAAACTAAGAAAAACCTTAACTACTGAGTAGGCGTTTTGAGTGGAGTCGGGATTGAAAGTATCACTCCCATCACAAAATACGGCCTTCAAGAAGGTTATTCACGTAATAATGATGGTCGTTGCAATACCTGACTAATAAAATAAGTGGCAGACAAAGTAAACCTATCAAACCTCGATGTGACACCACATTAAGGTAGAAAAGGAAATAAAGGCAAATGTCCACACAGATCTTCACATTGAATTGTTAATAAAGATCTAATTCTGATCATAAACTATAGTCGCGCCATAAGTATATATGAATTTTTGCCCAGCTAGCATATCTGTTGAAGAAATACTGTACAATAAGCTGTTATGACATAAGGATACAGCAGAACCTCTGTGAGCTACGAAGATTTTTGTTTTAATTTTAACATCTCTAGCATAATCCAAGTACAGATGGAGAAGATACTATACAACAAATTAAAGAACTCACTAAAAAACACGCGACCTTGACGGGTGAGGCTCTTTTAAGAAACGCGCCAAACTTTTTAAGTAAGAAGCTTCTCGTATCCGGAACTCATCATGACTGAAACCTTGAGCTTAATATTTTCGAGATCAGAATTTGATTACTTGGTTGAATCATGAGTGTTTAAAAATGATACTGATGACACTGGAAACGTAGACCGCGCTATTTAAAAAGGACAGTGGTATTTTTCCTCGTTGAGTAAATTCTATTGTTTTGATCGTTATTAACGTATCAAGACTACTGTTTTTATACTTTGATTGAATTTCTTTCAGTTAAAGTATTCTATTAGAGTATCATCTTTGGTATCCTAAATAGTTTTATCGTCGGTACTCCAGAGTACCTTTTTTTCCATTATGTTTGTTAGTACTTTGGTCCTAACTGTTTATAGTTTTTTTTTCTACTTGTAGTCAACACTTACTTTCGCATCCTAAAATGACTGGAAGATGCAACAAAAGCATTTGCCACAGCCCAGGATGTCGATATCCTGTTGATAGCGTCATGCAGTGCGATGAGTGCAAAGGTTGGTACCACGATGTTTGCACGAATCTAACACCTGCAGCTTTCAAGCGGTTCAGTAAAAATGGGTGTGTATGGCTATGTCAACAGTGCTGTTTGGATGCAAATAGCCTGTTAACCGAGGCCATTTCAATAGTAAATGCCGCAAAAAAGTGTCTCGTCAAGCGCGGTCAGGATACATCAGTCAGAACTCAATCTGTCGACACGCAGATTGACACAAGGCAGGCCCAAGCGAGTCCAAAAACTGCCGACCCACACTCTACTAAGGAGGAAGAACATCCTCCAAAGAGGACTGTTACAACCAGAAACTCGCGCAAAAAAGTCTCTTCTGTCCCTCGTATCAAAAATGGTACCCAGAAGGGAACTTCAGGAAGCCGAAACCGCAAGGCTCGATCGGTTTCCAGCGCGAAAGATGACCCAATCTCCCAAGTCGTCCTGACTCTTCCGGAATCCCACAGTACGCCTGACGCGAATGTGGTTACCACTCCAAAGAACGTTGGCGATTGGGTACGGGTCGTAAGAAAAAAAACGCCAAAATGACGTAAAAGGAAATCATTCCCCCACCAAAAGGGTCGACAAGCCGAGATCTGATCACAGCGACAGATCAGTCATTCTCCATAGAGTCAAGGAGAGTGACAACTTAGAACCGAAAGCTCGTTTTGAGCATGACATTGTGTTGATAAAACAACTACTCAACCAAGTTATGCCCAAAAACATCCCCGGAGTCACCTTGCTAAAGGTGTATAGACTAGGAAATCTAGCGCATCTGAAACCAAATCAGTCTAGACTACTCAAAGTCGTTTTCAAATCCTCAAACGAACGCGACTTAATCTTAGAAAATGGACACAAATTAAAGGGTTCAGGAGTTTTTCTCCGTAAGGACTTACCGTTGGCGGACCGTGTTAAAAGACGGAAAGCCGAAAAGGAACTATCGAAAAAGACCTGAAAATTGTAAATTTTCGGGTTGTGAGGCTTCGACAGGGGATGATGCCGAATCCACTCTGGGTGAAGCACGAGGTCACCTAAATAGGCTTCGGATCTGTTATACCAACGCCCGGAGCTTACTAAATAAGCTACCGGAACTAGGTGTACAGATTGACTCAACTAGGCCAGACATAATCGCAGTCACAGAAACATGGCTGACGCCGTCTATAGATACTAGGGAACTTGATTTCGAGGGTTTTACATTGGTAAGGGCCGATAGAATACAAACGCGTAAAGGAGGGGGAGTAGCTCTATTCATTAGGAATGCTATTCCATTCACCATTATCGAAAGTGTGTCCCATGAGGGTGGGACGTACGAATTAGTTTGCTGCCGCCTGAAATGCAGGGGACAAGAGTTGCTACTTAGTTTGATCTATCGCAGTCCAAGCTGTGAGGCAAACGAGGTCCTGCTAAGCAGTCTCAACACTTTATCACGAAGTGATCGATGTCTAAACCTAGGGGACTTTAATGCACCCATGGTGGACTGGGGAAATCTGCGGACTGAATCGTCAGCTAATTCCTTCGAACAGGAACTAGTTGATGCGGTAATCACATGTGCCCTAGTGCGACACGTGAAGGAAGCAACTAGGTACGACCCGGGTTCTGCATCATCCTTACTAGATCTTATATTGACTCATTATGAGGATGATGTTGCAAACCTGGATTACATGCCACCCCTAGGCAAAAGTGATCATGCAGTTTTAAGCTTTGACTTCCATATAACTGTCGATCACGAGTATTTCGATAATGCAATGAGAAGACGAAGATTATCAGAACTATGTGATATATTAGCGCAATACATTTCGAACAATTTGATCACACATATACTTGTTAAGAACATTTATATATAAAAATAAAAGGTCAACTAGACTGGAAATAGGGGTAAGAATAGACAAGGATAATAATGATAAAATAATGTGAAAACAATTTGACACCTAATCACTCTGGATAATAAGCATATATTACCAGGGTAGGTTTAAAGAGAGAACAAACTGTTTTTGAATACACAAAGGGGGGTTGAATTTTCGTATGGCTAAGGCTTCAACAAACCTTAGTTAGCCATACGAAATTCAACCCCCCTTTGTGTATTCAAAAACAGTTTGTTCTCTCTTTAAACCTACCCTGGTAATATATGCTTATTATCCAGAGTGATTAGGTGTCAAATTGTTTTCACATTATTTTATCATTATTATCCTTGTCTATTCTTACCCCTATTTCCAGTCTAGTTGACCTTTTATTTTTATATATAAATGTTCTTAACAAGTATATGTGTGATCAAATTGTTCGAAATGTATTGCGCTAATATATCACATAGTTCTGATAATCTTCGTCTTCTCATTGCATTATCGAAATTTATCAAAGGGACTAATTGCTTTAAAGATCACGAGTATGCTTCAGCTCAATCCAGACTTAACGTCTGGAAAGCAAACATAGCAGACATCATGAAATCAGCATCGTTAGTAGATTGGAAATTAGACCAAGAGTCATCAATCGAAACGGCTTGGGACGTATTCCGGAATTTATACTTAAAAGTTACCACCCCCCACATCCCTTGGACTACACCTAAGAGACCGAGAAACTACCCACCGCGGTTCAGTAGGGAGGTTCGCATCCTTCTCCGTAAAAGAAGGAAAATGTGGGACAGATTTAGGTTACTGGGGACTGACGAGGCAAAATCTCAGTATCAAAAGGCTCGAAATACCTGTGCCTCGACCCTCCGTAAGGCCAGAAAGCTGTACGAAGAGAAAATCGTTAGGGAATCCATAGAATGCCCTAAACGCTTGTATTCGTATATAAACTAAAGGACAAAAAGAAGAAGAAATGTTCCTTCACTATGGGGAGACATTACTGCCACATCACTAGTGGAGGATGACTTTGGCAAAGCTCAAGTATTCTCTAAATACTTTAGCGATGTATACACCATAGAAACACCCTTCTCACCAGTCCATGAAAATCCACCCACACAAGCACTGGACAGCGTAACCATTAAAGAACTCGATGTCTTTGGTCTGCTAGTTAAGCTTGACATAGGTAAATCCACTGGACCCGATGAACTGCATCCTAGGTTATTAAAGGAATTAGCTAACTTTGTTACTAACCCTTTAAGTGTGTTTTAATCTATCCGTAACCCAGGGTCGTCTACCAAAAGACTGGAAGAACGCCATAGTAAGTCCAGTCTTCAAAACAGGTACAAAACATAAGCCTGAGAATTACCGACCAATTAGCCTAACTAGTGTGGTTGTTAAAATCTTAGAAAAGATTATTCGGAAGGAACTGTTAAAGTATCTCGATGAAAACCGGATCCTCTCCGAAAAGCAGCATGGTTTTAGAACAGGTTACTCTTGTCTCACAAACTTATTAGTCGCTCGTAAAAGCTGGTGCGCTCTTAAGGACCAAAAATTACCTATAGACGTAGCTTACATCGATTTCAGCAAAGCTTTCGACAAAGTTCCGCATAACCGACTGTTATATAAGCTAAGGAATGTCGGGATTGGAGGCAATCTATTGATGTGGATAAAATACTTCCTAGTTGGGCGTCAACAAAGAGTAAGGGTGAACTCCAAGTTGTCTAGCTGGGAAACTGTGCTTAGTGGAGTCCCCCAGGGTACAGTTTTGGGGCCAGTGTTATTCCTCCTGTACGTAAATGATCTCCCTCGTCTACTATCGTCATCGGTCTTACTCTATGCTGATGATGTCAAGATATGGAGAGCAATACAAAGTAATGGTGATAGCTTAGAACTTCAAAATGACCTGGAGAGATTATCTGAATGGTCCCAAACCTGGCAATTGCCGATAAACACTTCCAAGTGTATTGTGATGCATATTGGCCATCAGGGTACAGATACATACACGATGAATAACACTGAGTTACCTATTGTTCAGGCACACAACGACTTAGGGGTCATCGTCAGTCAAGACTTAAAGACTATTGCACACTGCCGTTCAATAGCCGCCAAAGGTTTTAGGACTTTATGGTCCATACGCAGGACTTTTAGGCATCTTGACGCTAAAACGTTTTTGACTTTGTATACAGTGTTCGTACGCCCTAAACTTGAGTACTGTATACAAGCAGCTAACCCCTGCCTAAAAAAAGACAGTGAACTCTTGAAAAGGGTTCAGAGAACAGCAACTAGGCTGATTCCCGGAATAGCGAAGCTCCCGTATGGTACTAGACTGACCAAGCTAAACCTATTCCCGCTGTCATATAGAAGAATCAGAGGTGACTTGATTATAGTTTTCAAATTGCTCAATGGTAAATTTGCACCTGATATGCCCTTATTTTTCTTGTCTTCCAAAACAGAAAATCTACGAGGACACTCCAAAAAAGTTCACAAGCCCCGAACGAATTACTTGTCAGCTGACTACCGACTTTCCCATCGAATAATCAACGAAAGGAATTCATTACCTCAGCACGTGGTTGAGGCTCCATCCGTCGACTCCTTCAAAAAAATGTTGGATCAGCTGAGAGACCATCATTGCCAGGACTAACACAGGCCATCAAGCCTCCTGTCCTTTGCAAACTGAAACTGAAACTGAAACACTGCAG